GAATCAGTCTAATTGTAGCCCTTCTCCCCAGCATATCTGCTGCTCCTCTAAGGTTGGTGTCATCTGCAAACTTGCTGAGGGTGTATTCCATCTCATCCTCCAGATCATTGACAAAGTCCTTAAATTTATACACCCAGTAGGTATAGCATAGACAGAAACAAGGTAGATCTCCACCTGTGTGCCTCAATTGCCGCTTGAAGGGAATGAAAGCCATCTCCATGCCATCAATCCATCCTTGATATTGTTCGTGTGGTGACAAGGCCCAAACAGGCAAGGAACAGAGTTGTCTAGCTCATGCTCTGATCCGTCAATCAGGAGAACTGAGTTCTGGCACTTTTCTGCTGCTAGTTTGCCATGTGGTGTTGGGAATCCTCTCTGTCTGTTTCCCAATGTGAGAGATGATTTTGAGCTTCCTTTGCAAAGTGCTTTGAATTGCATGGATGACAGGTTCCACACATTAGCTAAGCATGACTTTGATAAATGCTTGCTGCCTGTATGAGCAGTACCCAGCCATGCTTTGCCAGCTGCTGTTTATCTCTTCCCCCTCTAGCTCCAGTGAACTGGATGTATTTAAATACCCTTGACAAGGTGCTACCCCACAATAGACTCAACATGCCCCTCAATTGACTTAAGGCACCCTTCAATAAATGCCAGCTCTTCATTTACACTAATTTTTTATGCTACAGAAAAATAACAGAGCAATTCTTCTGTTGCAAAGAACTCAGAAAGACCCTAAGAGGGCAGAGTACTTTTAGCAGTATGGGTCCTTATGTGAAATCTCAAGGTTTATCTTGTGAGTAGCGTTCGTAAACTTAACAGTATTAATATTGCATGAGACCTTTGTAAAGCTCTCAAGGCAACCTGATTGAGAATCACTGGATTACATCAAGACTAACCTGGTGGCTCTGTGCTGAGTGCAGGTTAATCCTCTGCGGTTCCATGTTCAGCGTGGAGATTTGTGAGACCCAAGCAGGGAGAAGAAGGCTTCCCCAGGCTCCTGGATCCCACCATGCAAATTTCCCTGGGCTCAGGTCTCATTGAAATTAATGCAGTGACACCTCACTGACCACAGAGCCACTGAGGATTACCCCCGGCAGCTCTGCTCTCTTCACAGAGCGGCCGCATGGCAAGACCTGGGAGCCCAGGGCTAGTCCCTGTCCCTGGGCTCCTGGGTTTTGTTGCAGTCATGGCGGGGCTCCAGGCTGAAAGCTGAGCCACAGAGCAGCAAGGCCAAGGAGCCAGGGAAAGCTTGCATGCCTCCCCTCAATGCATGGCCTCCCTGCACTTAAGCCCCAGAGGTTCTCCCCGCTTTGACCATGGAGACAGGGAAACGTGCTTCCTCAGCTCCATGGTTTTGCTGTGTTTAAGCCTCTCAGAAGTGTCTGCTCTCCATGTGGAGCAGAGAGAGCTCAAGGAGTGGCCACAGCTGCCACTTCAGTTTATCTGGTGATTCTAGTCTGAGGAAAGGAATTTCCCTTCATTGACCCTCCCTGCAATTCCCTGCCTAGTCTTACAGGTTTCACACCTCCCTCTTCCTGAAAATGTAATAGAGCTAGGATTACTCATTCAAGGCCTGCTGTCTGAACATCTGCACACTGAAGACTTGTATTTGATCCTTTGCATTGCAATACAGACTTGGCTTCGCTGTAATGCTTCTGAAACTCCCTAAGCCTGAAGAAGGGTGATTGCGCCTGAAAGCTTGCTAAGAACTTTTTTCCAACTACTCAGTTGGCCTAATAAAAGATATTACGTCTACTCACAGATCACTGCCTGCCTTTATTGTGATCCTTTTTTTTTTGCAGGCTGTATAAGTTGGGAAAGAAACTGATGGAACTCAGAGGGGGGAGAAAGCGATGTGTGCTTTCAAAATCATCCGTGATAATTTTGACTACTCCTTTTCATCTATGAAAAATAGATTAGTTTAGACAGTGATTTTATTGGACTCATCATAGAAAACAGCTGTAAATATCTTTTTGACTTAGAGATACTACCACACGTCTTGCAGGCAGCTGGATTCCAGAGCATGACCTGGGAAATTCCAGTCTTTCCTTTGCCTCTGGAGTACTTCTGGGCCAACTATTATTTATATGTGGGAAAGCATCCGTTGTGAGGCAAAGCAAAAAAAGCCGGAAAGCTCGGCAAACCACAAGCCTTCAGGAAAAGGGCTGGACTTTAAGATAGATCAGTTTTGCTCTAAACACAAATGGCATGTTTGTGAAATGGTACAGAATTGCAATTTTTGGAAGCAAAGTGATGATTAGTAACATCACTGCAGTTACAGCCTTGTTTGCAGGATTTCTCTGTTTTCTTTCCTTTCTGTTCATTTTCTCATCTATACAGAATGTCCTATACAATCCACCTCCCACATCATTCTCCCCGAAACATTTTGCAACTGATGCATTATGGTTTCATCTATCTTTTATTGTAACTGCTTTCTTAAGTTCAAGGTCATAAATGAATATTTGAAAACTCCCATTCCATAGCTGCATGGCCTGATTCTCATTTACACTTGGGCTCTATTATACTGTGCTGGCAATGCAATAGTGCTGTACTGCCACAGTGATACAGTGGCCTCTGTGAGTGCATCTACATGTGCATATTCATGAAAAGCAATAAACTCTGGCACATACTGCACCAGAGTTTATTGCTTCAAGGCACCATGTTTACATGTGCACCCAGGACCATAGCATGATGTCAGAGGAGCCCTGGCTGGCAGAGGATCCAGGGGATCAGCCTACCAGCCCAGGGCTGCTTCAACCGAGCTCAGTGTGCTGCAAAGGGGCTGGCTGTGGCATGAGGGTGCTCTAGTGTTGGGCTAGCTGGCAGGCAGCCCTCATGCCCCAGCTGGCTGGGTCAGCATATACATGTGTATTGATGCTCACAAAAAAACTCTGCAGCAGGATAGTACTTGTATTTTCAAATACTAACCTTCTACAGAGTTTATTAGTTTCCTGTGGCCTAATAGGGGTGCATGTGTAGATGCCAAGATGTTTACTGCGGAGTTAATTAGGCAACTGTAGTAAATGTCTCATGTAGACACGCCCAGTGTAAATGAAAAATAGGTCTACAGTCTCAAACATTTGACCTACAGCATTTAAAGAAGTCTTAACAGGCTTTGTTTTTTCTAAAAAAGAAAATGGGTATCAAAGCCCCATCAGTTTAATAATCCTAATCCTTGTGGTTCACTTGGTATTTTAAATAGCATCTTCCACAGCCCTTCTTTTAAAAAAAACCCAAAACAAAACAGAAAATGTTTTATGGGGTGAATATTTTTCCTGTGAGGTTAGGAAACCATTGTGTCTGAAAGTATGTTTTTACACAGTTCGGGTATATTAGATCATGGACTTCTGTGGTTTAGTATGACATATCACCGCAAAATCATACTGAGAGAATCACGTGGAAGGAAATATGGAAATCTAATAATGGCTTTCAGTATTCAGATAAGATTCTGAAAGCCAAAACCTGGGCACACTGGGGTTGGTTCATTGAATGGTATTTGAGCACATGCATGCATGTGCGTGTGCATGCACACGCACTTTGTTAAACTGGAACTAAGATAACTTACACATCACAACTTTTGGAGGGACAATCATTGGTTAGATATTGGAAGCTTAAGAGGGCTAGATTTTAACCTTCTTTACCAGACTAAATCCATTATCATTCTACTGAGATAAGAATCCTTTCAGTATCAGGTTTCCTGTATGTAAAATGCAGTCAATAAACATTGCTTATCTTACCCCCATCTTCAGCTGACCTACCTGGTCTGATGCCCTGTCAATACATTTATTTGTCTGCCTTGCAGAGGGATGGGTCTGTGACAGGCCTGCATCAGCCCAAAACAGGATACATCATAATAACCTGCATCTTGAAATTCCTGGTTTCCAGACCACATTTTAAAATTACCTTGACTTGTTATGAGTATAGAGTAGCTAGATAATATAACAGCTCACGGGCAAAATGTGACCTTTGACTTCTCCCAGTCCTTTCATTTAGTCATTTACCCATGTGCAAAAGACAACTGATGATGGTTGAGTTCTACACACTGCATCTTTTTTAGTCAGTCTGGACCTTAACTACTGCAGCAGATAAGCAACTGGCCACCAAGCTTTATGTCAGCTGCTGAGAAGTGTGGAAGTTTGCCTCAAAGCATCTTGAGTCCACAGGACATCATGAGTTTCCTTGAAATCCTCCCAGCAGGTAGCAGAGCCCCATTTCCCTGGCCTCCTTGTAGGCGGGAAGGCTAGATTAAGGTTATATCATCATGCAATTAACAAGCATATTCAAAGGAATCAGATAATTAAGGAATATATTATAATGCACAATACGACTGAATTCAGGTTCCAAAAACAGTCTTAATACTGACATTTCCAAACTTCTGAGAGCTTGGCTTTGCAACATTAGTAATGGTCTTTTAACATGGAAATTTTGTGTGCAATAATAACTGCGATGAAACCTAGATGACAGCATCTGTTTTATGACATGCAGAATGTATATCTAGCTGGTGAGCTTACTTATAGACACACCCAATGTTGGCTGAAATTCATTGCTGGTGTAATTCTATTGACATCAATTGACATCAGGGAGTTATGACAGGGAGTCATTAGGTCTTTATATGCAATCCACTGAAGAGTATTTTCGTAATGGAAAAATCTTTTTAACTGTTTTACAGTTTTTCCCTAGTAAGATTTGTCTAGATATTAACATCTTCCATTAGGATGGAAATTAAGGGGGCCACCGCCCCACCCACCCACCCCCACCCCAGCCACTACTTTCCCTCCTGTAGCAGTGGGGGCAGGGGATTCAAGACAACCCTCTAACACTTAGATTCTAGACCTGGAAAATTATTAGAAATCAATAAATTTTCCACCTACAAAATCTAATTATTGGGGGGCATCTTATATTTTGAGCCATGTTATATTAACAGAGTCATGAGCTGGAAAAAAGGATTTAATTCAACAAAGCATCACAAAACTCAAATACATACATTATAGATAGGGTGACCATAAGTCCAGGATTGGTAGGGACAGTTCCTGATTTTAGAGGCCAGTTCCAGGCACAAGGTTATAAATACTGGTAGTATTATAGTCCTTCCCCTTTTTGTCCCCAGAGTCTAATTGGAGGGGACATGACAAGGATGTGATGGTCCCTTGCAGTCTTTTCCGGCCCTCTGCCTTTGACTCCAGTAATAGCATCCTCTTCCTGGTTCACAGCCTCTTCATTGTCCCCACCTCTCTCTGCTGCCAGTGTTATCAAGGTTTTTATCAAATGCTGGATATCCAGTTGTGACATCTGAGGTGAAATCAAAGAGAGAGGTTTGAAGAAAATTTCATTTTGCAGTCATTTGTAAATGAGCTTTTCCCACAGTTCACTCATTAGAAAGACAAGGAATGAAGACTCTTTCTGACTTGCATTTGGATCTATCACTGCAATCTCAGTTGAGCACCCAGAAAAATCAGGACTTTGCAACAAAACAATGTGGAAAAGAAAAACAATGGGGAATTAAATTGGGAAACCCCAGAGGAGTGGGCACTTGCTACTTGGGGCTGGTCTGCTGAAAAAGCAGGATTTACATGGGACAGCTTGCAGGGCAGATGAATCTGATGGGGTGGATGAGGAGGGCAGGCCTATGCCAGCTATTATACGTTTTCATTGTGTAGAAAGATGTGCACTTCAAATGTTCACCTTCTGCCGAGGTATGACCATTTTTCTGTTGCTTCCTTTATTCCTGCCTGATACTGCTCTCCTTTATGCACATTGAGCCAAATCCTCTCTCCACAGTACCCACACCATTCTGTTCCTGATTTATTCAATCCCACTCGGTTTTACTAACCAGCAGAAGGACTGCTTGCTGTGGGCTGTGAGGACAGCAGTGCAATACCGAGTCAGACTCACCGTCTTTGAAAAGCCGCATGTTCTCACACTTGTGCCACATATGGATTTGTGGGGTTCAGTTTCTCAGTTGGGCCATAGCCCAGTTTTCTTGCTGACATAATTTGGCATCCTGGAAATAATCTCTTGTGTCTGGTTTGTGCCTACAAAGAGCCACTGATGCAAAACTAGGCTGCTGATTACCTCACATGACCAACAGTACATTCCAGGATAGTCCTCAATGTTGGGTGTAAACTACTTCCAGGTCTAGGGGTTTGTGTCCCAGACTTGGTTATAACCGCTGGACTTTGGAGATGTCAGGGATAGAAGCTTGGCCTCTCTGAATTAAATGTGAGTTTTGATATTGACTTAATTGTACCAGAGTGTTGCCTGCAGGACACAGCCATTTTCATAGCAAGACCATGATTTGCTGCATTTCTTTACCTACAGAGTTCACCTTAAAAAGTTTAGTAAAAAAAAAAATGGCCTGCCCATTGCATTTGGGTGTGAGGAGAGCTGCCCCCTGACTTGTGCTGCCACATCTGGTCTTTTCTTTCTAGTAATCAAATGGCCCCTTTGACTTTAAAGAGCAGTTCCCATTGAATTGGGCTCCTCCTCATCCGTGTTGTCATCCTCCTCCTTATTCTTGTTCTTGTCCTGCTCATTCTCCAGTTCATTCAGAAATGAATGAGCTAAAGGACAGAACTGAGAGTTGGAGGGCTGAAATGAAAGACAAAGCTTTTGAAGAGAACCTCGTTTTGGGGTCACTTGTAAATGAGCATTTCCTACAGTTCACTCATTCATGACCATCTATTCTGCAGGTACTCCAGGGCTCAAGCACACACTGAAAATAATTAGTGGGTGTCTAGCACCCACAAGCCACAGCCATTTTGGTTTTGCATGTTGGAGCTCTCTGGCTGCTTGCAACTGTTTAAAAAAAGTGTGTGTGGGGGATGGGCACTTCACCAGAAGAAGCACCATGTTACTTCAACCAAGCTCTGCTGTGTGTGTAAAGATCAGGTGCTTCAGTGGGGCTTTTGCTACTTCTAAGTTGAATCTGATTCAATTAGCTATTAGATAGAAGTGCTAAAAAAGACCCACTAAAGTGCCAATCTTTAGAGACTGATTCTCTTGGGCATGTGCGAGGTGTGGCACATGAACATATGCAGTTTAAAATAAAGCACTGGTTTGGGTGGGTTTTTGTTTTTTGTTTGTTTTTGGCGGGGGAGGGAGGGGAGTTGTCTGTAAGTGCCCACCGGTAAAAACCAAATTTGGCACCTATGTACTCATTAGAAAGACAAGGGTCTGAATGATTCAAAGAAAAGCTTTCAATAATTTAAGGCCACATGGGGTCTTAGGAAATAGATTATTTTTCATGTTTATTTTTCCTACAGGGTTTACCTTAAAAACTTCAGTTAAAAAATAACCAATGGATTGCATTTGGAAGTAAGAAGAGCTGCACACTGACTCCAACCACAACATTACAGCAAACCATCAGAAGTTGCACGTGGTAGTGAGCAGTGTTTGGGGGTGCATTTCATTCCTTGTGACTGAAGCAGCCACACGCTGCAACCATTTGGAAATAAATAAATAAATAAACCCTAAAAGTTGTGTGAGCTTCTTGGAAAGCAACCTGCTTTGTGTGGGCAGGAAGACTGAAGTGCCAGGTGAATGGCCATCTGCCACCACTGTCACTTGATTCATTCATTTTTTTGTGAGGAGAAAATAAGCTCTAAAATATTGAGAGGTATCTCAGGAACCAGGCAGGGCCCTACCTGGCCTAGCTCTTCTGGATTTTTCTTTGTGGTCTCCCCTGGCTGGCTGGTCCAGCTGGTGTATGATGTCTCTGTAATGGGAGTTGGGGGAAGTTAAAGTCTCTGTTCAAGGGCCCATGTGGGAAAGGACCAGCCCAGACCTTGCCAGGGCCCCCTAGAGGCTGCTCCACGCCTAACCCCCAGTTTCCTCCCCATGGGTCCAGGTGACGGGGAGCCCCCATCGACCCCTGCCTGACTCCTGCTGCGGGGGCACCCAGGAGAGGAGGGGTCTAGAAGTGATTTCCCGCTCCTTCACCCCCACAGCCCATGCCAAGGGCTCCAAGGTCTCCCATGCTGATCCCATGACACCTCCCTACCAGCGCCCCTGGGGAAGGCGGCTCCCCATATTCCCATCCCTCCAGAGCCCTCACCTGGGGAGCTGCCGATTATGAAGACAGCTGATAAGGCAGAGCCAAGGGTTGGGACTGGCTCAAGTTCCTCAGCCTCCGGGACCTGTGGATGGACGGCATTCTTCCTCCAGAAGCGCCAGAGCCACCTGGCTGGAGGGCCTGCCTTGGGGTCATGCTGCCCTCCCCTTCTTGTACCCCATGGCCACCAGGTCTTCTTTGGCGTGGGAGGCAGCAGGTCCCCCTCAGGAAGGTTTTCCTGGTCCTTGTTTTTCTTCCCCAGGAACCAGAGGCCTTTCCATAGGCACGGGCAGCAGGACTGCCCGGCCTGCAGATCTTTTCTGGACCTCTGGCCGGGGCCGCCTCCTTTTTGCCAGACCAGGCTCTTTCCTCTCCTCCAAAAGGAGAAGCGCATTTCTGCAGGTGCTGGGATGTTTAATTGAGGGGAAGCCTGGGGGCTGCTGTACTCAGCTCCCTGAGTGCAGGGCTCTGGGGCACCAGTCTCCACTGGGGATGATTTGTCCTCCACCCTGGCCGGGTTGGACTGGGCTTCCCTAGCCCCAGTCCTGAAGTCTTGCTCCATCCTGGAGGGGACAAGAGACACCATGAGTACTCGCTCTGCTCTCACGAGGAGCAGCAGCACTGGGCTGAGCGGCAGTGAGAAGCAGCGCAGCAACCAGGCACTCTGGGTTGATAGCACTCACTCTGCTGGCTTTCCCTTTGGGGGGTGAGGTGCTGTGCCCAGCCCCGCTGTACCCATGTCCCTGCTTGCCCTGTGTTAGTCTGAAGCCAGGCACAAGGAAAGTGATTGGTTGGAAAAGCTGTGGAGAGTGAGAAGAAGTTGATGGAAGAGGAGTAAACTTAGGCAGATGACAGAATCCTGCCCTGGACTGGTGGGTGTGAAGTTAGGCCGAATAACAAGTGCTTTATGTGAGGACTTTCTCTCATGCTGTGGACCCCCTGTGATGACTCAAGGTCTCACTGGGGTTTTGTGAGACCACCCCCCCTCCCCCCTTCACCTCCTGGACAAGTTGGGAAAGGCTTTGTTGAAAGTCCTCTCTTTCCCCATGGTTAAATGCAGGGAAGTATTCAGTAGTTCTGTTTGCCCCAGACCGTACCCTTAAAGACCAAAGGGAAGGACCCTTTCTCCACACCACCATTTCCTGAAAGTGGATTCATTTCGATCCGCTTCTCTTTCATTCTCTGTGGTGTGAACTGTTGCCCTGTCACAGCCCCCTTTTCCAGGCTGATCTCTGGATAGAAAGGTGCCCAAAGGTGGCAAAGCCCTGGACAATACCCCATCCCTCTGCTCCCCAACGTGAGGAAATTCCTGCCCACACCCATGTTTAATGGCATTCCCTCAAAGCTTTAGAAAATGGTGAGAAAAGCTTGTTAAGTCCCTGCAAGGGGCAGAAGGGTTTGTACCTGGATGGCAGCTGCAGAAAGGAATGAAGAAGTAGCAGAAAAAGAAGTTACCTAATATACACACAAGTGCGACTGGTCGCTCCAGAGTCTGGAGAGAAATGGTGTGTATCTGCCCGTGGACACTGTGTGCTTCTGAACTGTGCCATAGCAACGGCAGGCTGCCTGTGATGTCACAGCCCCCTGGTGATGCGGACAGTGACAAAGTCGTGTTCATAGCAACATGGGCTATGCTCTTCTTGTCCCAGAGCAGATGGGATGGGGAAGGGGGGATGGGGGTAGAAATGGGGATAAGGTGGGGTGAAGGAATGAGGTCCCTGTAGGGGCAAATGTTGCTAAGAAATGAGTTTCTCTTAGGCAGTGTGGGGAAAAATAGGAACCGGTTTAGGGGCTGAGGGATGTATGGAAAAAGGTATCTGCCTCTTATACCCATGGCTTCCAGCCTTTTTCTCCCTTCTCTTCCAGCCTGCATGGTGCCTCTGGATTTGATTCAGTTTTCCCTGCATTAGGCTTTTTCAACTAACTCTCTGAATCTGTGTAAGGTTTGGGTGTTATGTGGGATGGCAGTGTGCGTCTTGTATAGACCAACTGTGCCGTCACAGGGTGTGTTTAGCAGGCCTGGTCTTGTGCATCATGCACCTCAGTTGATGTGTGATTAGATGCTCCGGGGGAGAAAAAAGAGCATGTTTTTCTTTCCTTTTTTAAAGAGCTCATCCTCCCCTCCCATTTAGCTCAGCTCTTTTGTTCAGTTATTAGGTTATATAGTTTAAAACTAGCTCATGGCCGATCCCCACCTTGTAATAAAAATAACTGTCCAAGCTTCTTCCTGCTTGCCAGTAGATCCTGGTGTATTCATTCCTCCCAGACCTGTTTGCACAGAAAACTGAATTTTAGATATATATTGGCTTTTCATGTGTAACCTTGGCTGTGGGGCTACCCGCAAAGCTACAACCCAACTCTGGATCCCTGGAGGTGCCACAGCCTGCTGCTGCCCATCCTTCTCGAGTGAGGTGAAGTTGCCTAGTGTCCCTGCACCTTTGATTAGACACCACACAACTTACAACAGTGTACACTTTATTTACAAAGGCTTAAAGAAAAGGAAACTAATTAATACGCAACTGATAAACTGTCAGAAATGTATTCACACCCTCTGTCAATAACATTGTACATGATGATGGCTTTGTCTGTCCTTCTTGCATGATCTCTGGGGAGCCATTTTCCCTTTTCCAAAAGGGCTGCCTCCAGAGAGGGCTTCATTTGCCAGTATCACACAATCATGAGGAGCCACACTGTCCCACACCACTGCCTGGCTGAGTTCACCCTGGGACCTTTCTCCCTCCGGTAGGGTGATTTAGTGTTCATTACACATGCATTAGCATCATCACTACGCAGCAGCTTCTTCATCATGCATCTCCGTGCACCATCAAACATACCTCTGATACAAACAGAGTCAGTTACAGCTCTGGTGGCCACCGGCTTGGGACAGGGTGCTTGGTGCACGCCTAGCACTCTGCGAGGAAAGGACAATGTGAGGAGCAGCCTGCAGCTGTGGCACGAGGGGCTGATACAGGTGTGGGCTGACCAGGAGGGGCCCAGGCATGAGGCAGATAAGCCCAGAGCCTGAGCTAGGCAGGTTGTCTAGCCCTGGGAGAGGAGCTCCTGGCAAAGAGTAAGGTGCATTGAGGCAACCTGCACTGCCTGGGGCCTGCCAGAGGACAAAGACTTGTGTTAGCACAGGGGCAGGCAATTATATTGGCTGGAGGGCCACTTAAGTTCATAGGGATTTTATTCTTCTACTGCACCAATTCTAAGCATGGTATTTGGATGGCTCTTTCAGAAGTGTGGTCTGTCTCTCTGGAGGAATGTCCTTATTGAGTGAAAACCCTTTTGAGATTGCAGGTGTTCTCCTCCATGCACATTCAGTGGTATTGGAGAGCTTGGCTGTATATTACAGTTTTCTTGGTGTGTTTAGGGCAGGGGCAGGCAATTATTTCAGGTGGAAGGCCACTTACCCAGTTTTGGCAAGCTGTTGAGGGCCGCATGGGTAGCCCTGCCCCTTAACAGGTGCCCCACCCCCTGGTCACCATCTTGGGACCCATGTCCCAGGGCCATCGATGGTGGGGCCCAGAGCAGGGGTCTGTGGAGCCAGGCTGAACTGCACCAGCAGGGAGAGGGGGAAGCTGGGCCAGCTCCACAGGACCCTGTACCCCTGCCACCCTGCTCTGGGCCCTGCTGATGCTGGCCCTGGGACACCGGTATGGGCCCCACGCTCCCACTGGCTCCCATGCCTGCTTGCTCCCAATGCCCCCCGCAGCCCCGCAGTACAGGTGGGGGCAGTGCACAGCCCTGGCCCTGCACTCACGGGCAGGGAATGAGTTGGTGCTGAGCCCACATGGGGCTGCCTGTGCCTGCTCAGGACAATGGCATGCAGGCTGCGAGTAGCTGCAGCAAGGAGTGCAGGCCACAGGGCAGGGAAGGGGCCACTTTCCCCCCTATGCTCAGCACCAGCTCATTCCCTGCCCGCGGTCCTCCCCAGCCCTTTCCCCCGCCTCCTCCACTTACCTGACTTTCCCCATGCTGGTGCAGCCGAGGAGCCACATGGTTCCAGGCTAGAAGTCCCTGCTGGGGCTTCCAGCTGTGAGGCTGGGGCCAGGCAGGCCCTGCTGTTGCAGGAGACTGCCAGGGATTCCCTTAGGTCCTACTGCCCCTGGCTTCTGTCATCTTTGACAGGAACCAAGGACAGATAAATATGTATTTATTTTCTAAATTTTTTTAGGGGCCCCACGGGCCAGAAAGAATGGTTTAGCGGGCCGGATCCAGCCCGCAGGCCGTATTTTGCCCACCCTTGGTTTAGGGTGATAGCTGGTTCTGTGTAGATATGTATGTTGGTTGGCAAGTTTTTTGTATTAGAGTTGTTTGCTCTTATTGTATTACATTTGAAGTTAATACATTGTCCCATATGGTCTTAGAATGCAACACAATGTGAAGTATGGGATAATGTGAAATCTGAGACATTGCACTCCTCCATTTCCCGCCCCCCACCCCCACCTGCTGCAGGCTGCAGAGCCAATGGGCCATTAATTACTAATTGTTGATACCTGTGAAGTATCAATTATTGTTAATGTTCATTCTGCTAATCAGGCTAATTATTTTTGGGCAATTTTGCTATCTGCTAGTGCTCCCTATTTCAGAGCTCTTATTATTCTGCCTACATGCCCCAGTACCCGGGACTCTCATTTTAATGTTGATTGGCTGCCTTGGACAAATGTGACTGCCCTGACCATGGGCGACTGGTGCCTCCTAATACTGGGAAAAGGGGGGGGGGGGTACCAGCAGCCTATCGCTGACCAGGGCGGGGGGAGGGCAGTGGCCAATTGCCACTGTTAGTAGAACTGCTGGCAGCAAACCCAGAAGCATTTCTCTTGGCGGGGGGCATGGCAAATCTCTGGGGGTGCATCTGTACCTGTGTGCACCCTCTCCATGTAACCAATGGCCTTGACCAATCCAGGAGCTAAAGTCACCCTATCTATAATACATGAAATTAGGGTTTTGTGATGCTTCCCTGAGTTGAACCCTTTTTCCAGCTCATGCCTTTCTTAGTAAGATGACAATGAATATAAGACTCTACTCCCCAAATAATTAGATTGGGTATGTGGAATTTGTATGTAAATTTGCAATAATTTTCCAGGTGTAGAATCTAAGTATTGGAGGGTTGTATTGGCAGAAAGTTCAAGAGCAGAAATGTTTACTGAGTCAGGACATATTGAAAAATATTTGCAAATAATGACTTTTGAATTCCTAATGAGGTTTTATATCAGCAGTATGGTTCTGAAAGAAACAATGCCACATGACCAAATTTTCTGCAGAATGTATATGTCATCACATCTTTTCTTATTTAGAAACAATGCCACATGACCAAACAGCCCAATAAAAGCTAACCTACTTAGCTTGCTATTCCGATTTTAAATATGCACAACAAATTATTCATAAAAATGTTCAGACCAAGAATTAGTGGTAGACATTCTGCAGGAAATAATTCCAAGTAAAGGATACATTTAAGTAGACTTTTGAGTTAGTTGTTTGCAGACAACCTTAGCATTGAACAAAAAGCTAAATTCACTTAATAATGTATTATATTATTCTATAAGACTTATTTGCTCAGACTTAAAAAAAAAAAAAAAAAAAAAAGAACAAAAACAAAAAAAACCCCTCACCTGAGCTTTGCTTTTGTATACTATCTTTGCAGTTACTAAATTATTTGGCCAATTGCACCAATATCTGGTTTCATGTAAAATGTTTCTCATTGGTCCTTTAATTATATTGTTACAAAGTAGAGGGGATGCATTTCAAATTAAATGTTTCTTTTTTTAGATCCTTATGGATTTATAATTGCACGGAAACCCAAAACAGCTTTTCTAACCTCTGATTAATCAGAATACTCAGTTGCTTTGCTGCATGAGTCATCATTCTCCACTTCCGATTTCAGTGGCAAGAAACAAATCTTGATGTGATCCTGAGTATTAATTTTTAGCCAAATACTAGCATGCAGTAAATTGTTAGTCGAGACTGATTATATGTGAATGTGAGGGAAGGTTTTTCTGTCAGTTTCCTTAACAATTAAAAGCCTATATTAATCTCTGCCCTGGCAGCAAGGTTCCTTTCAGCTTTTAATTTTGACTCTTCTATTAACTCTGTAGAGCAAAACACATAGCAGAATTTGGGATTAAAAGAAGTCTAATCTTTAAAAAAAGATAAGATCATTTTCTCTGAAAAAGAGGGAACTCTGTAGCAGCTGAGAAACGCTTGCAGAGAACACCCTACACCCTGACCTTGCAGTAGTCTGCATGGGGGTGCATGCTTTTAATGAAACTACACAGCTGTGCCCTTGGACAGTCAGTTGTGGAAGCAAGGCCATAGTCTCTCTCCTTGAACCATCCTTGAAGCACTTATGAGAGAAACTGAGAGCAGTGTTTCATGTTACACCTAATTAAAAAAAGTATACATTAAATTATGGGCCATACTTTTGTTTCAAGGAGGTCTTTTACTTCATGTGTTCTTTACTGGCTTTACCATCAGCTCTGAGTGGCAACTGTTGATCACTGAAATGCTCCTAGTTTTCCCATAGTTATTACACTTATTCCCAGGTGCTTAGCAGCTCAAAGAAATATGTGCTCTCTGAGATTTGTTCTGGGATCTCAACGTGTCACATGAAGCAGGATTTAAAAAAAAAAAGGTGGTTGTATTACTTTTCCTAGGGGAAAGTCTAGAATAGTTGGTATTGGATTAGATGATGTACTGTCAAATACCACATCTCAGACAGATCAAAGTGAATTTATTTATAAAGTTGACAGCAAAGGCAGAAGTTATATTAGAGGCTAGATAGTGAGCTTTTCTATTATTCATCCAATTAGTGTTTGACAAGAAATCTTGTTTAATGTGGTAAGAATCTATCAGACAGAGAAATAGTACACAGAAGTATGCAGCTTTGGGGAGGATGTAGTAACAATATATCATCTAGTCAGTAGTGCAACAGGTGTTGCCTTGAGGTCACAGCAAAGACTTGTTTCAAGGAAGCACTGATAAATGGAATATGTTGTTTATAGGAACTATGCAATATGATTTTTTTCCAGCAAGTTTGTGTGTACATACACACATGCATGCACGCATACAATCACAGTGGTGACCATGAAATATTTGCCAAGAAATATCCACATCCATCCCTGCTCGAGGTAGAGAGAGGAGTCTGGGAGCTTACAGCCCTCCCCTCCCTCATGCTCTCCCTTAGCAGTTTCCCTCTTGCTCCCTTTATCCTCTCCTTTCCCCACCCCCCTCCATTTTCCTTGTGCATCCAGAGTC